TGTTCAACACACCAGTGTTTACAGTGGTTTAAATGGGGTGGCAGCAGGTATTTATGACGGCTATTTAATGATTCACTGGATGTTACTATAAAACTCACAGGTCCATGATATGAATGTAACAGACAGGCAGGAGCACAGCTGAGAACACATTTGACTGGAAAATATTCTGCTTTGCATGAAACATCTCCACACGTCTCTCTGTTCAGAGACCACAGAGGAAGTGGATTCATGGGAAAACACCAGGAACTAAAAGTGAGCTTCAAAAACATTCAGAGTATTTAGAAAGAAGTCTTTCTACTGACTGCTGAATTAGTTCCTGATAAACACAACATGTCATTGTGCAGCAGCCACAGCATCATGCAAAAGGTTTGGAGCACAGACAGAACAGGACCTTCATGAACACCCAAATCATCATCCAGGAAACCTGAAACTGAACAAGCCATCACACCTGTGTTTGAGTGTGTTGTTCAAGCTCACCATGAAGGACTCTAATATGTCTTCTGAAAAAAGATTTGATAAACAGTTTTTCCAACATCTGAGATGTAAATGGATTTCTGAAAGAGCGGCCTTTCTGCGACAAATGTCTTGACCCCAACCATGTAACTGTTCAGTTTTATTTATAGCGCTCCATATCACAAAAGCAGGCACCTCGAGGTGCTTTACACTGTGAAGTAAAGAACCTACAATAATACAGAGAAACCCCAACAATCAGACGACCCCCTAAGAACAAGCACTTGGTGACAGTGGGAAGGAAAAACTCCCTTTAAATAGGAAGAAATCTCCAGGCTCAGGGAGGGGCAGACATAACGACCTGTTGATGCCGAGGGGAGGAACACAGGACAAGGACACGTGTGGAAGAGAGCCAGAGATTAATAATCACAACTAATAATTAAGTGCAGAGAGGCGTATAAACACAGTGAGTGAAGAAGCTGGCAGCAGCCCAAATATACTGTATATGCGATCACTTCTTTTTTCTTTGCACTGCTCCTGTTTCCATGTTGTTAGAATGAGCTTACCTGAAGTGCTTTATTACTGTGCCTTATATTAATCTCATATTACTCAAACCTGCCATATAATCATGTGGCGTAGTGTTACATGGACACAGCGCTGAATAGACTCTCGCCCATGTTTGCCTGTAGAGCAGTAGATAAGAGGGAACCATCTTGTAGTGGAAACTTACTGAAATGCTGTTGTTGAGACTAGAATAGGGTGCCCAGTAATGGTAAATGGCCTGTATTTGTATTTTACTAGTCCCTAAGGACCCCAAAGCGCCAAAGCCATCACACATTCACACACTGGTGATGCTACATTGTAGCCACAGCCACCCTGGGGCGCACTGACAGAGGCGAGGCTGCCGGACACTGGCACCACCTCTGACCACCACCAGTAGGCAACGGGTGAAGTGTCTTGCCCAAGGACACAACGACCGAGACTGTCCAAGCCGGGGCTCGATCCGGCCCAACTCTTGAGCCACGATCGCCCCCGATTGGTAGTGAAACCGTCAGGTGCCAGTCACCATTTCC